CTAAAACATACGGTCAGCATCCAATGTCGAAAACTTAGTGCTATTTATTTTGGGGATTTATTTACCGCTACAGATCACTCCCCCCCTAGTGGGGCAGTGACGACCCTAAGACGTGGCCAGCCAGAAGTTTAAACCCAACGAGTTTGTCGTTGGTAAACACTCTTCTGATAGCTTACTAAATTTAGCAGCGTCTGGTCGTCTTTCCTTACTATATGGGACGGAGGTACAACATAGTAAAAAAAGAAAATGTACAATGAAAATTTCGGATCCTCATAAACGTCATCGTTCTTTTCCAGCCGTCCTGGAAAAGAAAAAAGAAAATGTAAGTGCATGTCGAAATACACTCGTATGTGCGTCAAAGCGCAATGTCGGCGGAAAAAAAAATGGAAAATAAACTCATGAACACGCAATAGCGTTAAAAAAATTGTTTTTTTGTTTTGTTTTTTTTTTAAATAGAAATAAAAATATATAAGCATATTAAAATTGTTTTTTTTTTAAAAAATAATATAAGATGTCGAGAAGTGCCTTACGTGCAATAGTCGTTTAGATGTTCTGGAAATCTCACCCTTCTTCCAGAACGCGTCGTTTTAAGTTTATTTTCGGATACTGTCGAAGTATCATCGTGTGTGTTGGTTGTCGGATGAGGTATTATAAGTGTCGGAGTCGTGTCGTTCAATTGTACCGAAGGAAAATCCACGTAGATAGGATTTCCTTCTAAATACGCTGCTTTTAAGCGATCGATACTGATGCTATCGTTGGTTCCGTTCTTATCGACTATATAGTACTTAGATTCACGTTGAAGAACTTTGAAGGGTCCTTCGTATGCTGATTCGAAGGGTCGTCGATGCGAGTCTCGACGAACGAAAACGTGTGTACTATATCGTAAGTCAGGTTGAACGAAAACATCAGTCGATTGAGGTCGGGTGGAAGCAGGTTTAACTGAACGCATTGCGTTTGTAAGCCTGTTCGTGTAGGAGGTTAGATCCATGTTCATTGAAGAGGATGAAGGATCCACGAATTCTCCTGGAAGTCGAAGTGTCGTACCATAAACGAGTTGAGACGCAGTGTATCCAATGTCAGCTTTCACTGCATTGCGGATACCTAGTAAGACGAGTGGAAGAGCGTCGGTCCACTGTGAAACGTTTGTAGCTGATAGCGAAGCTTTCAGTTGTCGGTGAAAACGTTCTACCAACCCGTTTGCTTGTGGATGGTAGGCGGTCGTTCGGAAGCGAGTGCTTCCTAAAAGAGTGGTCAGACGACGGAAAAGATCAGATTCAAATTGACGTCCGCGGTCTGTAGTGATGGTTGAAGGGCAGCCGAAGTTTGCTACCCATCGTTCGACGAAGGTGCGAGCCACTGTTTCAGCAGTGATGTCCTTGATAGGTACTGCTTCTGGCCATCGAGTGAAACGGTCTACGCAGGTTAAGAGATAAGAGTATCCATTCGAATCTGGTAAAGGTCCTACCAAATCCAGATGAACATGGTCGAAACGAGCATCGGGAGTTTTAAACGAGCCTAAGGGACATTTATTGTGTCTGATAACCTTAGATTTTTGGCAGCTTACACAGGAGCGTGCCCACTCCCTCACGTCTTTATTCATTCCAGGCCAGCAAAACCTTTCTGCTATAAGCTTGATGGTTGCACGAACACCTGGATGCGAAAGTTTGTGCAATGTGTTGAAGACATTGCGTCGATAATGTTTCGGCACGATTGGGCGATCCCTACCTGTAGATGTGTCACAAAGTAAGGTTTCCTTACCTGTTCCCATCTGTTTGATGCGTAGTTTAAGTGTTGTGGACGATAACTCGTGCTGAAGATCAGTGTCTTCTTTTTGAAGCTCGGCGAGTTTAAGAAGGTCGATTCCTTGGAAACTGTTCAAGGAAGTTATACGAGATAAAGCGTCTGCAACTACATTGTTTGCTCCAGAGATGTGTTGAATATCTGAAGTAAACTGCGAAATGTAGTCCAGTTGTCGAGACTCACGGGGAGAGTACTTGTCAGAAGGAAAGCTTAACGAGAAAGTAAGCGGTTTATGATCCGTAAAAAGAGTGAATTCACGACCTTCGATGTAGTGTTGAAATGCCGTACAGCACAATACATAGCTAGGAGTTCCCTACCGAATGTGCTGTACCTCGATTCGGTGTCTAGCAACCGTCTAGAGAAAAATGCCAAGGGTTGCCAGGAGTTGTTAACCCATTGTTGTAAGACTCCTCCGATTGCTGAGTCGGATGCGTCTACTGCGATGCTAATGGGTGCTCGGGTGTCCTGATGTGCGAGCATTGTTGCTTTAGCAATCAGTTCCTTAACTGTGGAGAATGCTTTTCGTGCGGTGTCGTCCAAATTAATGGATTTCGCATTTCCACGAAGTTGGTCGGTTAGAGGTTTCATGAGTAATGCGCATTTCGGTATGAAACGTCTATAGAAACTTACCAGGCCGTTAAACGTGCGTAATTGCTTGACGGTGGTCGGTTCTGGGTAATCCAGAATGGCCGCCACTTTGGTCCTAAGAGGTCGAATGCCTTGAGCATCGATAGTGTGTCCTAGGAAGTCTAACGAGTCGGTTCCGAATTGGCATTTCTGAACGTTTACAGTTATGCCATGTTTTTGAAGTCGTTCGAAAACAAGATCCAGATGCTTGAGATGTGTTTCTCTGTCCGGACTTGCGATTAGACAGTCATCAACATACGCGTGTACGAAGTTGAGACCTCGAAAAACGTCGTCTATGAATCTTTGGAATGTTTGAGCAGCATTCCTTAGACCGAAAGGCATACGCAAAAATTCATAGAGTCCGAAAGGAGTTATGATAGCTGTTTTCGGTATGTCGTCAGTAGCCATAGGGATTTGGTTATACGCTTTGACCAAGTCGATTTTCGAAAAGACAGTTGTACCTTTCAAGGTAGCTGTCAAATCGTGAATGTGAGGCAACGGGTAACGATCGGGAATGGTTTTCGCGTTCAATCGCCGATAGTCACCAGTTGGACGCCAATCGTTGCTGTCCTTTTTAGGTACCATGTGCAACGGAGATGCATATGGGCTACTTGACGGTCGTATGATTCCTAAGTCCATCATGTGATCGAATTCGTTTTTCGCTAACCTTAGCTTTTCAGGAGCTAGTCGGCGTGCTTTAGAAAATACAGGTGGTCCTGTAGTCGTGATGTGATGTGTAACATTGCTGGTTACACACGGTAGTTTCGTTTGAGTTTGTTGTATCTCAGGGTACTTATCGAGTAGTGGTTGATAGAGTGGGTCTATCATATGTTTAACTGTGACTGGGGATACTCTACAACCAGTAAAAGAAGTTACGCAAACGGACAAATTAGTGTTACCGTCTACTAGCCTCCGTTTGCGCGTGTCGATGATCAGATTGTGGTGTTGTAGAAGATCCATACCAATGATTGGCATAGAAACATCTGCAACAACGAAAATCCAGTGGATGGGTTTGCGTAAACCCACGTTAAGGTAAACGTACCTTTTGCCATACGTAGCGATCGGTTTTCCGTTTGCCGCCTGTAAGTTTAGGGTCGATTCGTGTAGTCGGTCGTTAGGAATCGCTGGGAGAACGCTAACTTCTGCGCCAGTGTCGACGAGGTAGCGAACTCTCGTTGTCACATCTGTGACGAATAACAGACGGCTTTGTTCGCCGGCTACGGTTGCCGTTAACGCGTGCCGGCTTGGAAGTTTCCCGAATTGCTTTTCGAATCAGTCGGTTTCGTGTTGGGAAAATTGCAGGGTTTTCTGCAATTTCTGGAAAGCTTTCCATACTGGTTATGATACCAGCACCAGTCGGGGTTATCTGTCTCTCGTGGTCTAGAGACAGATCGCTTACGAGAAATGCTTCTACGTGGTGTGCGCGATCTCTTACGGTCGTTACGAAGACTAAGATAACGCGTGAGTGTGTGACATAAGTCGTTTATATCATTCTGAGTCGTTTGAGGTTTTTCTTTGACTGAAAATACCTCGGTAGTAGATTTCGTAATTTCTAATATGCGGTCGGCAGATGCAGCTAGCTCGTCTAAGGCGTTGTTCTGGAACGAGACCAGAACTGTTTGCACCTGTTGGGGAAGTTTTGACAAGAAGAGTTGTTTGAATAGGCCTTCGTCGAAAGTTCTTGGGCCTATAACCTCTCTCATCCGTTGCAACATGTCTGTCGCAGAACCGTGTTGCAGGTCGATATTGTTGAAGAGTTGATCTAACCTTTGTCGATCGGTTAGGTCTCCTCGTTTAAGAATCGAGCGTTTTAAGATTTCGTAAGGATCGGAAACATCACTAGTAAACATACTAGGTGTTACGTACCTGTTGAATTCGCGCGGTAGTGCCTTGACTACTGCGAGGAATTGTGCACGTGTGTCGATCACGCCGTGCTCGGAAAAGTCGGCTTCTGCGTAGCAAAACCAGGCTTCGATGTTGTCGGGCCAGAAAGGCATCAGTTGAAACGAAGGCGGGGACAAAGTCTTAAGCTTGAGTACTTTAGGTGTCTGTTCAGTCATGATGAAGTATGAAGTACGATAATGAACAAGGGGAAAATATATATATCCAGGAAAAAACACGAAAAAAAAATCACAATGTTTAAAAAAGTTAAAAAAAAATAAGGCAATGATATATAAAAATCCCAAAAAGGAACAGACTCACAGTTGCAATTAGGTGTACCAGATCACGTCGGGCTCACCAATGATGATGTCACAGGTATTCAGTGTTTGACAACGCTTCTACCAGTAACACCTTCTAATATATTTCGTTCCCGCCCAGAGAAATCAAAAGACAGAGTCGAGGAGATCGGAAGAGTATATTTGGCGATGACCAATATATCGGAATTCTCTGATCTAATCTGGCTAGCGATTGCGGTTGATGTTGAGCACGGCGTTACCACACGTGATCTGGTGCGGATGACTGACCGAGCGCCTTCAGCTAGGTGAGTCCACTAAAACATATGGTCAGCATCCAATGTCGAAAACTTAGTGCTATTTATTTTGGGGATTTATTTACCGCTACAGGAGAAACAAGAAACATACAACAACTCACTTGTAGAAGATATCAGACTTCTAACTTGAAACCAGAATGAGTGATCTGTTATTTTCCCAATGACCTAGAAAACTTTTAAAGCAAATATGGCTCCAACTGGATGACCCAATTATATAGTCGCTTGGGTACACACACTCACTGGCGCCAACTACAACCACTGTTTTACATGTCTGTTTCGCAACGCTTTTTTCTGTTCGCAAAGGTTTGTCTTCCCACTGTTCACTACTAAACTTACCAGAGTTTCAGACCACAGCTATGTAGTCGGTCACTTAAGACATCTAGCTCTGTCTTTGGCACTAAAATGACTGTTAGGGATGCCCTCAATTCTGCTATGCGTGAAGAACTAGAACGGGATAAAGATGTTATTATTCTAGGCGAGGAAGTTGCTGAATATGACGGTGCCTACAAAGTATGATATCATGGCATCGAAAGTTTAGTTTGTTAGGTTACGAAAGGTCTTTGGAAGATGTTTGGAGATAGTCGTGTCATGGATACACCGATAACAGAGGTATAGAGTTTTACCTAGGGCACTTATTTCACTTGTAATTTTTAGATGGGGTTTGCTGGAATTGCTGTTGGAGCAGCTATGGCTGGCCTGAAGCCTATATGTGAATTCATGACTTTTAATTTCGCTATGCAGGCTATAGACCAAATAATCAATTCTGCTGCAAAATCATCGTACATGTCCGCTGGACTAGTGAGTAAAACAGTTTTGTGTTTTCTCCTCAACTGTCATGTCTATTTTTTTGTGTTTAACTAAGTGCTTCAAGCGTTTGAGCTTTTATTGTGAGGCTGGGCTACACGTTTATTTATTTTTGATAAACAGTTCGCTTAATGAATGGCTTAATAAATTACTTCTGTAATTTGCAACATTAGTACATTCGTTATTCCTCTTTGATTCTCAGTCTCAGATCTTTTCTCGTTTACTACCTTATTGTGTTCACTTGGATCAATAATCAACTGTTCATTAAGGAAAAAAGATTGCGTTTTGAGTGCTTAATAAAAAATCCTATATATGTGCAATAGTAACTGATCTTAGTAATTGCCACTTTTCAATTATCCAATGCTAATGTACTCAATCTGTTTAGTCATGGGTTTAAAAGTCTCCGAATCTTATAACTTTAACTAAAGATTTGACTACCTAGGTAGAGAATGGCAACTTTTGACATGGTAAAACTGCTTTAAGAAGACCAATATTTGTTTATTCTACTTTTAAATCAAACCACGACAATTTCTCTACTGTACTTTTTATAAGCATATTACTACTAGTCATATGTGGGACACCATACGGATATTTTTTGCCTGTAATTCATTTTTCGCGAATACCTGACTCATTAAGTTTATTGGAGTGTAAATATTTGGGACTTTATGTACATATTTTAATTTCCCTCAAGTTGAGTAGTCATGGATCTTGTTAAATTGTTTTGTGTGGATATTTTCGTGGTATTCGTCAACCAAACAAGCTGTACCATGCCTCACAGCGCTCTTCACAATTCAATGTTATTAGGAAATCAAATCATACAATTCGGAACATATTCTGTCCGGTGTACAGTAACTTATTCCTCATACTTCAAGTGATCATCAGATTTATTAAGTAAACTGTCAGTTAAAACAATCTGACATAATACCGTAACACGGTATTTAAGAGTACAATCTGATTAAACTTATTCAACATCCAGAAAGTTACTCAGAACTCTACGAATAACACAGGAAATCAGAGTTACCGGTTCTGTTGTTGAATATTGTAATCAGTAACTCCATAGTGGCTTTGACCTTGATGTGGTGATCATGTTTGGATCATCAAGGTATATTAGATGGAGTACTGACTTCTTGGGGTACTGTACACTAGTCAAATTAGTTAGAAAGCTCCAAACATCTGATGGCTTTTAGATAAGCTCCCAACTTCTAAACAACACATTACTCAATTCATATAAGAGATTAGGCGGACGGCACTCATAATTTTGTATGGGTAAATATAATAATTAGAAGTATTTGAATTAATGTACTAAGAATTCCCGAAATAGCTCAATTTAAGGCAGTTAGAAGTAGTTGAGTACGAATGAAACTATTGTATTTGGAATCCGTATTCAGCGAGCACTGAAGTACAAAGGAATCATTATTTCATTCAAATTTCAGTCAGTCAGCTACAACGTAGGATCAGGCATACATATGCATCGGTCCAAGTTGCCATACCTCATTAAGACAACAAGATGAACACCGGATTCATAGTAGTTAATTCAGTGGTGGTAATATACAAAAGAAAGATTGCATATCAGGACACAGTACAGAAAGAAAGAAAGATATGAAACGATTTTGATCTCATAGTTGAAGGGAAAACAGAGAGTGTATACACCGACGCCATTGTGATCGATTCTGAGCCATGCCACCCAGAGTCTCCGATCATTGGTTACGATAGTCACGCGAACTCCAACCAAGTAGTCTTCATCTACCAGCATGACTCAGATCAGAAGTTTGTAACTTCAAGCCCTGATGACACGTTTTGGTTCGGTCGCCCCTAACTTCCTTCCAACCATCCCCATCACTAGTCAGCATTGCGCGTCGTTTTCAGGTGTACGCAACACGTGGCCCAACTATCTCAGTCGATGAAGAATTAAAACCTCATCAACTGATTTACTATAATTCCCTTATACCTTGCGTCTAACCTCATGATTACGTACTCGATTATCCCAGCAGATGAAAGCAATATTTCTAAAGCATCTGTGATCAAATACTAGTATCTTAGGGGTATCTTCTACTCTTAATGGCCACGCTTCGCAGACGTAAATTAGAAAAGAACGAACTTCCGCGCAGTATACTCATCCTTTTATAGATAGACGAACATCTCGCCTTCGCCATGGGTGACGTAAGTTGGCAAAAGCCAAACGAGCTTTTTGAATCCGTGCTGAAATTTTGTCAGACACCGACCCATTATGGTTGATCATACTTCCAAGGTAAGTGAAGTTGTCAACGCGTTCGACCACTTCATTCCCTATCCTTAGTTCAAGTGTTGACGCAGACCAGTCCTGAAGCAATAACTTGCACTTAGAGAGAGAGAAGCGCATTCCAAACATTCTGGCATTGTTGCTCAGTGCTACCAGAAGACTCTGCATTTCGTCAGCGTCTTCACCAAACAGGACTATGTCATCTGCGTATTCTAAGTCGATAAGTGGACCTCCTGGTAGATCAATGCCCGAAAACTCAGTAAACGAGAACGTTATTTCCATCAGTAGGTTTATGATGAAGTTAAACAAAAATGGAGAAAGTGGACAGCCTTGACGGAAACCACTTGAGGTTGCAAAAGCAGATGACAGTTCGCAATAAGCTGTGACTCGACTGGTGGTGCTCGAGTAAAGAGCCTTCACAAGGTTTATGTACTTCTGAGGTACGCCTTTCAATGACAGGCACTGCCACAGAATCTCGCGGTCTACGGAGTCAAATGCTGCTTTTAAGTCAAGAAAGACCACTATTGTTGGATATCGATAAATATGCCTGTGTTCTAGAATCTGATGAATGGTGAGTATTTAGTTGATGCAGCTATGAGCAGGTCTGAAGCCAGCCTGAAGAGGGAAGTTGATTATGAATACAGTGGTTTTGAGTGCTGTTAGAAGTATGAGGGCGGTTATCACTTCCCGGTCGCCCACACCGTGGAAAGGTTCTCCTGGAGTCACCTGAAAAAGAGATTGGATTAGAGGTGGTTCTAGTGACCTGAAAGCGTGACCTCAGTGCCCAAAGTACAAATGCTTGAGGTCGGTAACACATGACCTTTTTATGAGTAACTTTCCTGTTAGTTCCGTACTTGTTGAGACCTTCCCGCCGGAGATGGATATCCGTGGGACAAGGCGATGTGTACATTTTTAGGGTCGACCTTTTCTAACCCCACCCCTCCTTGTGGGAAGGCAGCATCGCTGTCATGCTGGTTGTCTGAAGGAAACACGTTACTGCTGTCACACCTCTGTACATTCAGCAGTACGACTTCACCCTCAGACCTTGTGTTACCTGCTTTTAGTCTTACCGCTCTTCAACCGACCTGTCTTGCATAGTAGGACCTTGAGAAACGACTGTTCCAGCCAGTATAGCTCGACTGATTCAAGCCTGACCACCACGTCAAGGTAACAACAACGGTCGGATCCTTCAAATACCACAGTGAATCAACATTCAGGCACTAAATAACAGCTCACTGATTTGGCTTCTGTCGTAAATCATCCTTTGGTTAATATTAGTCTTTGATCAAAGAAGTTTCTCGTTTTGTTTCGTTAGGCATATCAATAAACTTCTACTTTAGACTGCTTATTAAAGTTATCGGTTTTAAAGAACAGTAGCTTTAAAACCTGGTTACAAATTACCTAAAAAAGTGCTTATTTATATTGTGCTTAACAGTTATCATAATGGAAATATTTGGTTTCTAAAAGAATGAGATAATTTATGAACATTAATCTAATGTGAATAACTTTTTTAGTTTTGAATTTCTTTGTGTGGTTTTGTGGAGAGCCTATGGAATTTCGAAGTTGCTATCATCTCATTCCTGAGCTTTCATTTTCGAATAAATTACTGTGCTGTTTCACAATATTGCTTTCAGTTACGTTGCCTACGAAACAAAACTAATCACGTCATTGAAAAAATAACAATCCAAGTCATTATATCATTTCTGTTTCTTATGTTTTCTAGGTGTCAGTCCCAATTGTTTTCAGAGGGCCGAATGGATGCTCTGCTGGCGTCGCCGCCCAGCATAGTCAGGATTACGGTGCGTGGTACGCTAGTTGCCCTGGTCTTAAAGTTCTGGCTCCCTACAATTGTGAAGATTGTCGAGGCCTCCTGAAATCGGCCATACGTGATCCGGATCCAGGTAAGTTATATATATATATATATAATATATCGTTCGTAAGTTTTGTTTTTACCTGGTACAAACAATCTACTGTTTACTGCTAAAGTCTAGCTAGCTCAAACATTATAGCATAGGTAGTTGAGCGGGAATATATCTATATATAAGTGTGTTCAGATCAGAATTTATTTATTTCAACACATAGATATTGGCACAAAAAGGCACCAAATACATACGCGCCACACAAATCTCATTCGATATGTGTGAGGGCTGTGATACTGCCCGGGTGCCCAAACCGAAGCAGGTGGTTTTCTTAGGGGGCCACCCCCCGAGCCTTCGACCTGAGGGTCTGATCCACAAGACAGTGGAGCATCGTAAGGAGATGCAGTCCTATAGTAGCCAGTGACCAACAATTGGTTCATACGCCATTTGTTCCAGCAGGATACTGGAGCCCATATGCACCATTGGTTTGGAATCCGGTTAAAGCGCCAGATATTCGCTTTTCGTCCCCTCATTTTCGTAAACAACACCCCCTCAGGTAGAAGGCAGTGAGTAGGGCTTCCCTGGCAGAGGTTATATACGCGTGGCCATGTGAGAGCATTTCGAGAGGGAGAGCGGACTCTCCCCACTCTCGGCTGTACCAGGGCATTTGGGGGCATTGCCAACCGTACTTGTGGTCCAGAGGTAGTGTAATGGTCCTTTCGGTTGGCTAGTTGAATTAAAAGGTTAAAAAGTTGTTCTTCAATAATGCAGTTTATTTATCAAGTATAGGGTTTTGTACTCAGCTTCACGGCTCCTAGCCCTTGTCTGGTGATCTTATGAACTACATTAGTCAGACCAATATCTGTTACTCAAGAAATATTTCGTTGCTTGCAGATCATAGGGAATGTTTTTAGGATTCTCTAGAAGTGAGTTAAGTAAATCAACGTTTGATCTTGTTGGAAATAAATTGCGAATGAATCTACACGGGCATATTTCACAATCTTTATCCTATCAATGTTCATTAATAACAATTTGCTTGAAGTTTATTTCGATTTTATTTTTACTGAAGTACTAGATTGATATAATTCCATTATTATTCTGACATTTATTTCCTCATATATCAGTGGTTCATTTGGAGAGCGAATTATTATATGGACAGTCATTTGATGTTTCAGACGAAGCATTGTCTTCAGACTTCTTGCTTCCTATAGGTCAAGCTAAAGTTGAAAGGGAAGGTGAGCCTCTTTCTTTTTCTTTTTCCGTCCTTATTCTTTGATTCAGCATTAGATTCTCACTGTTGGTGCATGAGTATTTACTAATTGCTAATATATGACTTTAAAATGTGTTAGTTGTATATCTATTATACAACTCCATTACTTTGTATTTCAACTTTTCTAGTAGTTTTCATTCGCCCATTGTTTTTCTTACAACTTTACTTATGTCCTACATTTTCGTCTTTAACCACCTTACAAAAACGTAAAATTTAATGTGATGTTGCTTTATAAACAAACAAAATAAACCAGGACAAGAAAGAGAAGTGTTTAACCCCACACTTTTCTTAAAGCTACCACATTTTGAAGTAAAAGAAATATTTGGCATCAAGAGAGGGAAAAATATATAAATGCAAATAGGAAAAACAGGAGTGCAATATGGAGTAAATACATGTAGTGTTATATGGTTCCTAAGATTTAATGCAGTATCAAGAATAAATTTACGCATGTCATTATCGTCAGTTGTTCAGCACTTCGACTTTGGATCCCAATTCATAACAACTACCAGTAATCTCAAAACTAATTTCATATTTCATTCTTGTCACCCTTTGATTTTTATAGTTCAATCTTACTAATGATGATATTTCGTTTATTGGTTGCGTAACTTGTGTAACGTATGTCTTAAGCACCTCAGTGTGCATAAGTTAACAACTATAGATGACTAATTACCAAGATCTTTATGCTCCATCTCTATATTATTCACTCAGTACTCTACAGTAACTCGCGATTAAATACTTCTCGCCAACTCATATCTTCAACCAAAGTAATTCAAAATTAAAGCGTAAAGCCATCCTGTACTCATTTCTCGTAATATTTATAATACGGTTATGACGAAAAGCATAAATTATTTTCTGTCCATCAATAACAGATGTGATCTAAAAAAAATCTATTATTCTTTTCACAATAATGTGAAGAGTTTGTTATTGAAATACGCTATTTACAGGCATTGGATATATTAAGCTGACAAGGAAAGGATGTGGCTATTAAAAATAATTGATGCAACCCCGTGATCAAGCATAGTTCCATGGATATAGATTTTAGAAAAACTTTCTGTGAGGGGCTTTCAATAGTGATTCGCTACTCTAACCGAAGCAGTTAGTCCTGAGTCCGAACTCATATATGCTGTTTATAAAGCAAATACTTCAATGACAAGTCTATCGCTTGATCATATATAAGTTTCGATTTACTAATTATGGCTTTTCACTTATCTTTTTCTGATTCTGATATGTGAATTTATGCATCCTATAATATAAAAAAACAGTAGTATTAAGCGGCTAGATAATGACTCAGCTATGGAGCACATAATTTTTGATGTCTTTGTCAGGCTAGAAGGTGTTTCTGTGTATCGTAGATGGGATTTATTAGGAAGCAATATTTAGAGCCGTTAATCAGTAATATCCGTTGTTGGTTATGAAATTTTATTGATTCCACCTTTATGGTAGAGGAAATCTATTGTTTTCCAACACTTTGCGTATGGGGGAAAAACTAAACCTGTACATAAATAACATTCATTAATAGTAACTACCGTATACGTCACTTCCTCGCAAATCTTGGTTGTATAAATACTAATATCTTTGACACTTAAAATGATATTATAGAATTGTATTGCTTATGGTGTTTACGTGCAGTATGTTTCATTCATTTGTTTTTTACATTGTTAGAATGAGAGGATTTAGTCGAAGTTGGATTATCAGATACTTTCTTTACTGTCTCTAATTAATTAAATATGTGCGTGGTCCAAAAGTTGATCACAGTTAAAAATATTTGCAGAAGAAAAGTCCTCCACATGGCAGTAGGAAGTTTTGGAAAGAAATATTCCCAATAGCCCAGAGACGACAAAGCTTATGTTGGCTCAGGCTTTTGAGGTTTAGAATGTTTAGGAAATCGTAAATGTAAGGTGACTATACATGTAGTAACTTTTGTTCTCCTTAAACTTTAAGGATAATTTCTTACTTTGCCGTGTAACTCAAATACCCATTTAAGTTTATTTTGGTGTGTTAGAATTTTGTTTTGGAATTAACATCACTGGTAAATTTGATCAAAATCCTCTATTTGTGAAGCTGTTCTCTCATATCTTAAAAGTTTTCATAAATGTCCACGTTTTTGTTTTAAAATATGTCCTTTTTATAAATGTTTATAGGAGAAACGTCATTTGTCTTTCAAAACAATTGGTTTTGTTAAAAAATTTCGATAGTAGCGTGACAAACAGAGTTGATCTACGATGCATAATAGATGTTTGTGCAATAGATTTCTAACAGTTTTGTCACGCATTTGTTAAAGTATTGTAGATAAGAATTATGCATGGTAATTTGAAATGTAAAGAGAGAAAAGCGAATGTTATGAATCGTGTATTCAACGTTCTACATACTTACTGGTCGTTTTTTGTATTTTAATTTATAGGGAAAGATGTCACTCTCGTTAGTTACAGTTTAGGTGTGGGTACTTGCCTTGCCGCTGCTGAAGAATTATCAAAACTAGGTATCAGTGCCGAGGTATGCAAGAAATGTTTCATCGTTTTTCTTTGGTAATCCGTGTGTAGAATAATTTTCAATGAGTTTTTCCTCAACCACTCACTTATATAATTCTGTGATTCAAACTTTTATATCGTTCTTCTTTTTTCTAGTCTTTTCAAATGAACCAGACAGTTTATAATTTTGAAATACAAATCATGACAGATAGGTTTTAGGTCCAATTAATGGTAGTTATTAAGATGTCCAAAAGTCATAAGAAGGTACAGAACGTATTTATCTGTAATATTGTGGTCGGTTTTAAGTCATTTCAGTTTGTTTCCGGCCACTAGTTTCTATCAGCTTGAATACTCCAACTCTCATCATATTTGAACAGGTTATATGTGGGGCTGTGACTACATAATTTAGAACTAATTTCCAACCAGTGGACTATAAGTTTGGACTACTGTCCAAGTTTAACTGGCCAGTCACTGCATAGTATATTTTGCTTATAGGTCAATTAATACAATCTGGTTCATGTGCTTTTGAGTTGTCCTTTTATTTTCTTGACACTGTAAGGTAGGCTTTAATATATCGGACATATTCTATTCTTTTTTTCCTTATTTTAGGTAATTAATTTGCGTTCCTTGCGGCCAATGGATGAAGAAACAATATTTCAATCCGTTAAAAAGACACATTATTTAGTAACCGTAGAAAATGGTTGGCCTGTATGTGGTATTGGTGCTGAAATATGTGCTCGCGTCATGGAAAGTAAGTTTAATACCCATTGTAAATATATTATTCCATTCATATCCTTTCTGAAAACTTCAGGATACTAGGTTTCTTTTAAATCACGTTTTCGGGTTTTATATTAAATTTTGCAATAAAGTGCACCGTAAACATTCACCATAATCAAAATTGAGAGTAAGTCTAAGAAAATCATCAACCTACTGTAAGATAATAAAAATATTTATTCTTTTCTATTTGATGTTTGAATAGTTGAAGCTTTTTGTTAGATTAATGACTTCATGATTAAGAAGACAACTCAGATTTTATCCAATTGAGTTACAGATGCAAACACTGCTCCATCTGATTGATACAATTTCGAAAATAGAGTACCAGTATCATTAGTTTTTACAGAACTAAACTGTAATTCATAGTATGTACTTAATAAAAGTGAGTTGCATTCGTTGAGTTAGTAAATTCACTGTTTCATGACATCAGAAGTAATTGTCATGATCATTTAATTAAATGGAATGGCAAAGCTTCAGTTATATCATTTTATTCGTTATGGCAAATTTGCTTACGACTGCTTTTGAATATTTCAGCCAATTATCGTATTACAAATTTCTTACTAATATTTAGACTTTGAATATTGTTGGTTCAGGGATATTTAATTCACTTATGACATTTTCATTAAACAATTACTTAATAACTCAATAAGATTTATACTTTGAATTGACTTGTTTATAATTTTAACTGACGCTCCACTAAACAAAGCTAGATGTAAGAAATACATTCGTGAAGGGTATCAGAATCAATCACCTGTTTTTGTGAATGGTGCTAGCTTTCCTACCAGTCTATGGTCAAATAATCCAAATTATTAGGCTTTAATCTCAATCTATAAGATGATAGAACAATGTTGGAGGCTGTATGCACAAGCAGTCATTACAATTTAATTTATAACTTGTTGCTCCAATATTTTGTTACCATTATATATATAGTTTATATTTAAAATATTACGAACTAAACATTTTGCCTTTATATTTTTGAATTTTTTTAGCGGATACTTTCAACTATTTAGATGCTCCAGTTTTACGAGTGACTGGCGCAGATATTCCTATGCCATATGCTCAAAATCTGGAGCGTGCTTCTTATCCTGATACACATAATATTGTAACTACTGTAAAAATGGTTAAGAATATTCAGTGAACAGTTAGCTTTTTAACTAATTAACTGCCTTTCGTACCGGCAATGCAAGCTACCTACTAGTTTATTATATAAAATGCTCTTTCACTATTGATGCATCTCAGTATACTTGTGATTTGTAAAATTTATTGTGTTCCACTGTTACAACAACTACTAATACTACTTATTTAAATGTCTAGCAATTTTCCCTCGACTGTTGTTTTGCACAAAATTATATCAGTTAGTCAATAAAGTATTTTTTATTACTTCATTTATATATTTTTAGTTCAGAAAAAAATCAAGGGCATATAAAGTGAGAACAAATAAAAATATCTTCAGAGTTTTTTGTTTTTTGTCTAAATAATTTTTAGAGTTCTGTATAGCTTTCAGAAATAAGACTGAGATTTTTCGAAGAAGATATCTTTATAATTCAAAATCTCTGAAACGATAATGATAATAATAACAAAGAAAAATAATAAGATAAACAGGTTTAGTGAATAGTTCGCCAATTCATAATTGATCTCTCTACATACCACTCCCTTTAATCTCTTCACACAAGTTTACGATACGACCGTTTCTATTTTAGTGATTTATCGGGGTTTTAACTTCAGGTGTGAGATGAGTTGCTAGGAAATTACACTTAACCTTAGCACAACAAAATTTCAATTTATTTCACAAGACACGACACTAATAATTCTGCTTCAGTTAAATTGATTAGAAATAATCCGCAACGGTAAACAAAAAAAAACAAAGACATCTTGAGTAGAAAAAAGACAAGATAACCTGTTATTAAACTAACAGTAAGTTTGTTAGTTTTTGAGATGCTTTTCGATTTGTTTCTCCGTAATTATTCAAACTCTGACTTGTAAGATTCAGATTTAGATGTGAGAGTTCAGCTAAGTTAAAGACTTTTTGTATTAGTTTCATTGCATTCGACAGCGCAGCTTCTTCCATTTTACTTTGGTTACCATAACATTAAGAATGTTATTCATAATAAGAAGTGTATAGTACGTTCATAACTAGTGGTCGTTGTTCTAAACTGCATCAGCATTACTTACTTACGCCTGTTACTCCTCGTGAAGGAGCATAGGCCGCTCGCCAGCATTCTCCATCCAACCCTGTCCTGGGCAATCCTTTCTAGCTCCGTCCAGTTGTAATTCATCGTTTTCATATCTGCTTCTATTATCCGACGCAATGTGTTCTTTGGCCTTCCTCTTTTCTGCTTCCCTTCAGGATTCCAAGTTAGGGCTTGCCTCGTGATGCAGTTTGACGATTTGCGTAATGTATGTCCTATCCATTTGTATCGTCTTTTCCTAATTTCTTCAGCTGGAAGTTGGTTTGTTCTCTCCCACAGAAGGCTATTGCTGATGGTATCCGGCCAATGGATGTTGAGTATCTTGCGTAGACAGTTATTTATAAATACTTGTACTTTCTTGATTGTGGTTGTTGTAGTTCTCCAAGTTTCGGCTTAATACAGTAGAACTGCCTTGACGTTCGTATTGAAGATTCTCACTTTGATATTGATTGAAAGTTGTTTTGAGTTCCATATGTTCTTCAATTGTAGGAATGCTGTCCTTGTTTTGCTAATCCTCGCCTTTACGTCTGCATCATAACCTCCTTGTTCATCGATGATGCTTCCCAGGTATGTGAAGGACTCTACATCTTCCAGAGTTTCGCCATCAAGTGTGATTGGATTGCTGTTCTCCGCTTTGAATTTGAGGACCTTAGTTTTCCCTTTGTGTATGCTGAGGCCTACTGATGCAGAGACTGCTGCTACACTGACTGTCTTCATCTGCATCTGTTCGTGTGTACGTGATAGGAGGGCTAGGTCATCTGCGAAGTCCAAATCGTCTAATTGATTTTGAGCTGTCCATTGTATTCCGTGTTTTCCTTCAGATGTTGAGGTCTTCATAATCCAGTCGACCACCAGAAGAAAGAGGAAGGGAGAGAGTAAACAGCCTTGTCTGACTCCGGTCCTTACTTGGAATGCATCTGTCAGCTGTCCTCCATGCACTACTTTGCACTGTAGTCCGTCGTATGAGTTCCGGATAATATTGACAATCTTCTCAGGAACTCCGTAGTGTCGAAGAAGTTTCAATCACGTCCTCCTATCTACACTGTCGAATGCCTTTTCATAATCAATGAAGTTGATGTATAGTGTTGAGTTCCACTCAACTGATTGTTCGACGATGATCCGTAGTGTTGCAATTTGGTCTGTGCACGACCGATCCTTACGGAATCCAGCTTGCTGATCTCGAAGTTGGGCGTCTACTGCATCCTTCATCCGGTTCAGCATCACTCTGTTGAAGACTTTCCCTGGTACTGACAGTAGTGTAACGCCTCTGTAGTTTTCACATTTGCTCAAATCTTTCTTTGGAATCTTGACGAGGTGTCCTTCTTTCCAGTCCATCGGCACTTGTTCCTCCTCCCAAATCTTTTTGAATAGAAGATAAAGCATGCTTGTGGTTGCTTCGATGTCAGCTGGTATGTTGTCGGGTCCCGCTGCTTTCCCGTTCTTGATTTGTCTGACGGCCATTCTAATTTCTTCCGTAGTTGGTGGATTGACATCTATAGGAAGATCTATGTGTGCTGCTTCGATGTCCGGTGGATTCATTGGAGCCGGCCTATTCAGGAGTTCCTCGAAGTATTCTACCCATCTGTTACGCTGTTGTTGAATTTCGGTGATTGGCTTGCCTTCTTTGTCTTTGACTGGCCTCTCTGGTTTACTGTATTTCCCTGATAGTTTCTTCGTTGTATCGTAAAGCTGTTTCATATTTCCTTCTCTAGCAGCATCAGCATTGACGAAATATATACGAAAAACCGTAGGAATATTTTAAACTAAATACAATAAGTGTGTATTTGCCTATATTATGGGGTAAAATTTTATTCAAATATTAAGACAGTTGATAAGCCTAAATAAAAATGCTTCTTGTATATATTGCATCAGCATTGACGAAATATATACAAGAAGCATTTTTATTTAGGCTTATCAATTGTCTTAATATTTGAATAAAATTTTACCCCATAATATAGACAAATACACACTTATTGTATTTAGTTTAAAATATTCCTACGGTTTTTCGTTGTTTTTTCTAAGATAATAAAGCAGCACTCATTGTATAAAGACAATGAATGAAAAATAAGAGAATTTAGAGGGTAAAACATTTAATTTGAACATCCCAGGATAACAGATTGCCACCTGGAAACAGAACTCATTCTCACGAAAGCTTGGAAAGAATATAATCATATACTTACTAGCGACTTGTAGATGAGTTCATGAAGTTTTATCGGAAAGCAATATCTAAGATTTCTCTCATGTCGGGAATGAAACGGTTGTTATTGATTGAATTTGATGTTATTGTATATCGAGAAACGACTGAAGTTGGTAATGTAGACCATTAAAAATTAACCTAGTAGACCATTCGTTAACCACATACCATGAGACCTAAAGTTCTTGTGTTCGATGACCAGCTAGATATGGTGTGTCACTACTGAGAAGCCTCTCGCTAATACAAAGCAGATGTACTTTGTTTTTTAAGGGTATGGCAAATGCAGGCCACAAATATTTATTTCTGGAAATGTATTTTATTTGACTGCAAAAATGAATATTAGTGATGGGCAGCTTAACAGACTAATCAACGCTTCAATTAATCGTTTCCTGGTAAAAGTGTGAAATGTAATGCTGAGGCTGACATGCACACATGTATGGCTGCTCCCAGGTTGTCAGTTTAGAGCGCACTAAAAGATTTATTTATCATATCTTGAAAATAACTTAATTGATCATAAATTTCTTCTAACCTTAATTCAGAATTAATAGAATTTCCCTTGAGTATACTAAATGCATTTAATTTCTAATAAACTAGATTTGACAATCATCCTATTTTTTACGTTGTCATCTCCTTACAACTTCAAAGTAACCAGAATTTCGTGCCTTGCAATCGATATTTTCCCTTCATATTTACATCATAAAACATCTTTTAAATAATTTAAATACTTATTTCTTTCTTTAAATAAGTAGTTTTTCACTTACGTAAAGTTAACCTCTTCTAGATTCTTTGGATCTAATTCTTGCATTAATACTTTCATTTGTTCTTCGGTAAATTGTATTCCAAGTCTCTATAAGATGTAAATGTCCCGATTATATGTAGTTTTTCAAAAAAGTGAGATTTTCAATTTATACAAATTGTCTTTTTATTATTAACCTTAAAAAAACTAATCAAGTAGGTATACATTCCATCTTATATCGCCACCAGATATTATACAAAATGAAAAACAGTGGTTTACCTGGATATACAGACCATCCTTTTTCGTAATTGTTCTAGTACCTTCGTTTCACATGTTAAAGTAACATCAATTGTTATCGATGTGATGAATATTTATCCTGTCATCAACTTCGTTGCCGATGTGTTACTAGCATTTTTTCCTGTCTGTAGTTAATAATAACGAAACACCGTTTGATAACAGCTCACCAACGTGCAATAAACAACTTGTAATAATTGCTCGAATATATGACTACAGCAGATGGGTTTTTTTTAAAAGTAGGAGCATCACATTTTGTTATTCATTTAATTCACTCATTTGAACCATGATTAATCCTTTCGTTTTATTGTATGAAATACTGATCTTTTATTGAACACAGATAATGATCGTATAGGTTCACTTTAAAGAATTTTTAATATTAAATATGTTCCACAGTATGATTTATTAAGATTAGAAAATTTGGTAACATTATGTGTGCTTATTTTTACAGTATACATTGTTACGGTGAAAGTTGACATGAGTAAAGACGAAATAAGTAGGATCATAAAAAAATTAGTATATAATGAGAAAAATGCAAAGAGATTGAAAGAAACAAGTTCAGTATTTTGAACTCTACGGGAGAAAAGTGATTGTCTGCATCATTGTAGGTCATTTTAAGCAATGGTAAATTAAGATTATCTAGCTGAGTCTGTTTTATTCTATATGTATCATTTTAAGGGTCAGTGACAACATATTTCAGTTTGATCACCCTAAGATATACTCCAAAATGTTTTCTGTAAAGCTGCCAGTCCACTCATAACTAAAATTAGTAAATATTTTGCTCATAGTTTTATATTGTGTAATTGAAATGTGCGTTTATGATTATGACAATATGAATGGATAAGGCATATTATTACTACAGAATGTATTAAATACAATCAAAATAACATTATACTGACAGAATAGTTAATTTTGAGGTAGATGTATTAATAGCTAGGAAATTAATCTATTAGCCAATATTACTGAAAATATTTATTCAACACAAGATCCAATGTTCAAATTCAGTACTTCATTATCAACAGGAGAAACGTCTAAATCCCT